ATTAAATTGAAAAAAAATCATCAAGAAAAAATAAAAAGATATCTCGAGTCAACTCAAGTTATTTTGTCAAACGTAGTTCACAAAACCATAATAACTCAATAAAAAAAATACAAGGTCAAATTCTTAATCAAGTTAGTGTTGAATAATAAAATTAAAAAAACAAAAACAAACCCAAATGAATGTGGATAACCCATAAAATTCATAGCTCATGTCACATGAGACCATGATAAATTCATAATAAGCAAATAAAAAACATGCAAAACTCATTTTTCATTTAATTTAGTACCAAATGATGAAAATCTATTAAAACAAGATTTAAAAAATTATTTAATTTAACTCAAACTAATATGCTAGAACTAAATTATTAAACTTGATAATTCAATAAAAAATAAAAAAATGATGAATTCTAATACTTATTAAATATAACATTTAAGAATATTTTTTTTTTTAAATGAGGACTATATATATATATATATATATATATATATAAGGGTTAATACAAGCTGCAAAATGGAGCATTGACCTCCCAAACGATGCACGTAAAGATAAAATTGTGTTCATAAGCCCCGTGATAGATGTCCATGCCACCATTGGCATAATCTCTCAAATGATCCATGCACCAAGTCAAGAGCTCTCTGGATTCGAATGAGGTCTCCCCGATAAAAAATATCTGTCAATAAAGAAAACCTTGGAAGTAGATGAGTACGGGTAGACTAGAATCACACACACCCTCTTCTGTCTTTTATTACATGTACGTGCACTATACAGTCTCCACTCAAATAAAAATTATTTTCTAGTCTTGATAAAGTATTTATTAATATTATTTTAAAATAATTCTTATATATAAATTTTTATAATTATAATAATTTTATTTAAAAAATATTTTTATTTTATAAACTTTATTTATTTTGGACCTATCAATCAAATTTTAATAAATATTAAAAATAAAAAATACCCTTCAAAATTTGCATGAATTGAATGGGTGTTATATATAACTACTCTGTTAGCTATTAAATATATATATTAATATTTTATTTAATAATATGTTAGTTGTTATTTTTTAAAATATTTTTTATTTAAAAATATATTAATATAATATTTTTTTTATTTTTTAAAAATTTATTTTTGATGCTATCACATTAAAAAATTTTAAAATTATAAAAAATAATTTAAAACAAAAAAATTTAATTTTTTTAAAAATATTTACGAAACACAAAAATAAATAATTCCTAACAAGATATATACCGAGAATTTATTTAATATTGTAACAATAGTTATTTTTAAAAATATTTTTTATTTGAAAATATATTAAAATAATTTTTTTTATTTTTAACACCAACCCATTCAAATAATATAAATTAAAAAAAAAAAACTTTAAAAGATGTACCCTGTCCTTAAAGAACCAATAGAGAGAGAGACACTTGTTGTTGCCTAACGACTGCCCGCCGATGATTGGAACACGTTGGACCACTAGATTCGTCCTGGCTGGATGATCAATCGGACTTTGTACGTGCGCCGCCTAAAATTGAACAGGACTGGAACCACACGATTTGAACAATATTTCAGTCCTTGTTTTGTGTATGTCTTCAGATTTAGTCCTTCAAATTCTGACACAGATGATTGGATCCCTAATCTTCAATTTCAATTCGAATATAAATGGATTTTTGATGAATTTATGCATGGATCTATGCTTATTGTTACTCTTTGTATGCCTGTTTGTAACTTGCATTGATTGTGAGCTTAAATGACTAGGGGTTTAATTGAGATTTCAAATGGATTCAATCGGGGTTAATTGAATACTATAAAACTCAAGACTATTAAATTTATCTAATCTGCTCGAGGGTTTAAATTTAATTGTATTGATATGTATATGCATAAAACTTTCTCTCAACGGGGTTAATCTCGGTATATAATATTATAATTATTTTTTTATTTTAATAATTATCAAGAATAATGGCGCTCCCCCCCCCCCTCCCCGCCCCCACAGACACACATGCGCGCGCTATTTATCCTTTAATGTATATTAATTTAGTTTTAAAATTTTCTTTTCAGCGTTGTAATTGAATACTAATTAATTTTAATTTTACATGAAAACACGTGATTGAAAGAAGAGGGACATTGATAATAAAAAAAAAACGCCAAATATGGGTGGAATCTCATAACTTTTGTGAGAGATATATTTTATTTTTAAAATTTAAAATTTGTATAAATTATATAATTGTAGCATCTTAATATTTTTCTAATTTAATTTTAGTGTAAAAATTTATTTTTGTTGTTTTTTAATCCCTGATTGAAAAAGAAAGTAACTGAATTATAGCAACATAAAAAGACAAAATATTGTTCACACCTGTTTAGACCATCAAAATAAATTATATTTGTATTAAATAATTTTATTTGATGAAGACTCTTCATATTAGTTGTTTTTATACTTTTAAAATTTATGACAAAGCTTATGAGTTAAGGTTAATTTTGAATTTAGGATAATTTTTATTTTTTGGGTATTTTTTTAAGATTATAAATAGGTTTATTATGGTTCTCACGGTGTTTTATAATTATTCTAAATAAAAAATTGATTGAAAAATAATTTTTTAGATAAAAAAAATTAAATCTTGATTTTTTTTGCCAAATAGCCAAAATGTAAGTAAATCAAATGACACATTATTTAAAAAAAAAAACAAGGTGAAACGCCCAAATCGCCTCACCTTTGCTTTTTTTAAAATTAATTATTTTTATAGTTTTTTCTCTATTTTTTATTTATATGTAAATTAGTACATATTATTTTTCATTTTGTTTGGAAACCTCTTTTAAATGATGATTTTTTTTAGTAATACATATAAATTTAAAAAGTTTTTATGATTTACACACGTACATGTATTTATCTTTTGCATGAATGAACATTATTTTTGAAAATAAATTTTTTTATTTTCATATAAAATTTTGATAAGTGCAGTTTTACATGATATTTTATTTTTTTTCTTTTATTTTATTCGATCAATTTAATTTGTGTTTTTATATTTATTATTGTTTGCTTAAATAAAAAAACATTTTAATAGATAAACTTAGTGAGTATAACCGGATAAATATTTCATATTTCAAGATTAAATATCTTGATTATATCTGTCACTTAAATTTTTAAGTTTTATTTTCAAGTATTGTTAATTATTTTTTATTTGTTTATTCATATTTATAGTTTTCAATTAAATCTGATATGCATAATTTTTTTATTTAAATTTGGATTTTTTAAACTATAAAAATATATTAAAAAATATGTATATATTTTAAAGGTGAGGTGGTTGTTTTTTTTTTTTTTAATGTTATAAATGTATTTCTACTTGCAGATTTTTTTAAGAAAACAAAATGAAACTAGATCCTAGGCTCGATTTTATTTCTGAATTAATTGGCGTGGCAAGTTGATACGTGTTCAAAGTTCATGTTTTTATATTTTGTAAACCTTTTTATAATTTTATTTATCTCCCTTTTTATTTTTATAGTTTGAAATGGGAGTCTGGGTTTAAAAACCAAATTTAAATTGTATTTTGGACACGGGCTTTCATTTCGCAAGTGGGGTCTGAGCCCTGACGTTTTTATCATTCTTTTTTGGATCTCAATGGTCCAATTTTTATTTTTATTTTTATACTATATCAGAATAAGTTTGATAAGCTCATCTCCTCTGTGATTTTAGAGGCGTTCTGCATGAATTTGTTTTTTTTTGTTTTTTTTTTAAAATATATTTTTAATTTTAAAATAGTATTTTTATATTATTTTAATTTATTAATATAAAAAATAATTTAAAATAATTATTATTTTAATATATTTTTAAACAGAAAATACCTTAAAAAAATCGTTATTATACTTCCAATCACCCCATATATAATGGTTTTTAATAGTGTTTTTTTATTTAAAAATATATTAAAATAATTTATTTTTATTTTTAACATGACATAATAATATCATAAAAATATATTAAAAATGTCAAATTAATATTTTTCCAAAACAAACACAATAAAAGACATAAGCTACAACCACTCGAGGCATGTCTGAAGAGGCATCAGTACCGCCACTCCCACTTCGAGCATAAGCGCAAGGAGGCACGTGAAATCGGCAAATTCTCCGAGAGAGGCAAGAAGGTCTTCTGTCTTTCATGTCTTTTTTTTTTTTAATCTTTCTTGAATTTATTGTTTCATGTTTGCTAAGGTGACTCCTTTTCTTTTTCTTTTTCTTTTTGGGACGACTGTTTCACCCGAAATCAATAGATAATTGCCCAAATTAATTCGAATGGGTTTGATATTTTACAGACAATTATTATATGGGCTGGGTTAGGTAAAACTCGAAATGTATTAAAGTTTCGAAAGATTTCGTGTGTGTTTGATAATTTTGAGTTTGGGTGTGTGTATATATATAAAGTTATTTTGATTTTTTAAAAAATTATTCCAAAATCCACCTTCTCAATTTCAATTCATGATCTTAAAAATTGACGAACCTTTGGAATACATAGCAATTTATAATTTGATTTAATTTTATTTAGGATAACAAGATTAATCTTTAAAATATTTTTTATTTAAAAATATATTAAAATAATATATATTTTTTATTTTTTTTAAATTATTTTAAATATCAAATCCAAAAAATCACTAAAAGATTTAATGTTATAAATTTTCATAAAAAACAGATATCGAGCCGGAACCTTCAAAAAAAACACACACACACACACACAAGTCACACACATAAGTAGTAAAAAAATAGATAGTGCAATAAACCTAAAAAATAGCACAACTTGTCAACTATTGGGTTTATTTTTTAATAGTCCCACTCTAAGATATTAAAAACTTACATAATTATTAATTTTAAAATCTATGAGATTACCGAGATACAAAAAATCTATGAGATTACCGAGATACAAATAAGTTGGCCTAAATTACATAATTATTAATTTTAAAATCTATGAAATTACCGAGATACAAATAAGTTGGCCTAAGTATCTATATTGATTAATAAATAAATAAAAAGAAAGGCAGGCAACTAATTAAAAGCTGGTCAGTAATATCTGTAAACAATAAACCTGGCTTTGTTTCAACCCTTAGCCTTCCACAAAACAAGAAATCATCCAAATGCCATGTTTTACAAGCCGAAAGCAAATGCTACAAAATATGCAGGTCATTAGATTCACCACTCTTCTTTTATACAAACAAGTACGTGATGACTTGTTGATTGTACCGGTGAACTAAAAGATGGCAGTTCATGTAACTTATTGTAGATGTATGCCACTTATAATAACATTTTAAAGCCAGATTGTGAATCAACCCATAGCGTAAGAAGGGGTAGGCAAGTTGATTACTGTACTCTTGATCTTCGTCATCATGTTAATACTGTTGGTGATTCCCTGGGAACCGATTCCACTGTCCTTCAATCCCTGCACAAAGCAAGCAACAATTGAGCATATTCAGCTACCGGTTTTGGATAGCAAGAAGATCAACTCAGACCCGGGTTAGCTAGTCTGCAATTATCGTAAAAGAGGGTCCAAAAGAGAGGATATTAAACAAGTTTCAAGCATAATTAATTTGGAAATCAAGTTTTTGCTCCCTTCCAACGTGGTTGCTCCGATCCATTCATGCTCAAAGGAAAGGCGGTGTGTATCCAGAACTCAGAAAGGTATTGCAATTCATGTTAATAGACTGTACTAGAAAGAGTCACGAAATCAACCAGCAAATCCAGAAAATGGGATGGAAAATTCACCTGGAATGGGAAATGATCAGGTCCACGAGCTGGTGCGGAATTGATCTGCACTGTTCCTGTCTCCATGGCATCACTAATTAAAATTGCTTTGTTTATATCTCTTGTAAAGATGCATCCCTGTAATCAAACAAGAGTTTAGAATCTTCAAATATAAAAATTATTTATTACAAGTGCAAAAAGGAAAAACCAAGTGTGTACTTTGCAAAAATAAAATGATATTTCTTTGATACACCAAAAGAACCTGCATGGATGAGCAAAGGATGGCAACATTATACCTGAAGACCAAAATTGCTAGCATTGCTGTGGTGGATAGCTTCTTCAATAGAGTTTATTCTGAGAACCGGTAAAACTGGACCAAAAGGCTCTTCCCAAGCAATCCTCATATCAGGCCGGACATTATCTAACAACAATGGCCATATTAGGTTGCCCTCCCGCTTATACTCTTGACAGAATGTTGCCCCTTTCTGCTTGGCATCCATGACCAGTCCTTCAATGAAGTTTGCAGAAGACTCTGTAACAACTGGAGTAATATCACAGTCATCCTCAGGTGGCCCAACAGTCAGTTTTGCTACTTTAGCTTTAACCTTTTCAACAAGAGTGTCAGCTACCGATTCCATGATGAGGATAACCTTCACAGCCGTGCACCTTTGACCACTGCATAGACAATAATAAATGATATCAGGCTAGTTTGTAGCTGAAAATTGGGACAAGCAAGGCCAAAACAATATTCTAAGTAGATGTTTCTGTGGCTCAAGAATATTTTTTTTTCCCAGTAGGAGCACTTTATATGGAGACTGTAAGGAGTCTTCAAATTGCTGCCTCTGTAGAAACCAACACTCATAAATTAACATGAATGAATCATGCGTGAAGGGATGAAAATGAAAGACTACTTTAAAAAAATTTACAGATCAAGCTAGTAGTTGACTACTTAAGAAATCTTTTAACCTGTACGAGAAGCCTCCTTTAATGATATTAGCTGCTGCTAAATCCAAATCACCATCTTCTAGGATGATACAAGCATCTTTACCACCTAGTTCCATTTGAAGTGGGATCATCCCAGCCTTCTTTGAGATTGCTATTCCAGTGTCTCCACCTGTAAAACTGAAAAAGAATACTCATCAAGTGGGAGAAGATTCTCTTAGCTCGAAAAACTGCAGCAATTTGAAAATTAGAAATGCTTATTTTATCGTGTTCACATTGTGCAGCTTAACATTATGATCGCCAAGTATGCCATAAGTCAAAATCAAATAAATTGTGCAATTAGGTTGGATGAGAAGCAGATAAATTTTATGGAGGAGAAAGAATTTCAAAAAATCAAAAAATGTTACCTTATACAGCTAACACCAGGATGCATTGTGAGGAAGTCACCAATCTCTGAACCCTTTCCAGTAACACAGCTAATGAGACCTTTGGGAAAACCAGCCAAGTGAAAGCAATGGACCATGTGTAGTGCAGCCACAGCACCCTGCAAGGAATTAAGGGCGGGCCATAATTTTGACCAACAAAAGCTGTTATTTGAGCATTCAGAAAAGTCCATTCAGCTAAATTACATAACATGAAATATACAAAATGTTTAAATGATATATGCAACGGGAGGTGGGTGGTTTGAAATCACAGGTTTTAAACCCATACCTGGGTTGGGGGCTTGAGCACAATGGAGTTTCCGGCAATTAGTGCAGGAGCAATTTTTGAAACAGCAAGATTGACAGGATAGTTAAAAGGTGGGATAGCCAAGACAACGCCAAGCGGAATCTGCATGGAGAGGTTTCAATTTAAACAACACAACTAGGGTAAAAGCAGAATGAACAAGAAACTATAAGCATTGAATATTTACTTAGTCCAAGACAAATAACAAGGAAGGGCCTCAACACAGCATTCTCATTTTTTCTTAAAAAGTAGATCTAATCCCTATACTGGTTTCACATATTTCTAACTTCAAATTTATGGAGGTAGTGAAATTCTAAGGTATTTAATAGGTTAGATTTTTATCTCAGTCCTCACAGGACTGGTGCATAAATGCTACATCAATAAAATCAAATTGTCCGTCAAATAACATGTGCGACAGGGTTGTTCACCCTCACATGTTTGTTCTTTAGTTTTCCTGGATTTGCCTTGTTGTCATGAAAAATGCAATCATGTCTGGTTTTGCCAGGGATGTAGGAACAATTCTAAAGCAGGAAAATTTGATCAATAACATAAATACCATCATGGCAGTATCCCTCATAAACAACAGCGGAGCCCATTCTTCAAACATTTGTGATTGGAGGCATGAGAGCCTGCCCTATAGGACAACTTGTGAACAGTAAAACAACGAGGCTGTTCATCATTGACTAAGAAACAACTAGTTCAATCCTACAATTTAATATTTCATAAGCAAAAATTACAGGAGGATCTTCCATGGCATTTTCCCCTAGATTCCATGGATATGCCCTACAGATCCTCTATTTTAATATTCCCTTGGAAAAATGTGAATGACATTAACTTCCATTTGATGACAGCGACAATTCAGTGAAGTTCCTCAATCAGTGGGCAAGATGCAGGCCCACTTGGCTACCGAATTTTTATGCAAGCATAAATATGATTAAATAATCAAATTCTTACCTAAGGTGTCTTTACCATGTGCTAAAACCAGAATCCAGATTGCTACTAAGAAGAAAACAGGAGTAAGGTTAGTGAATTGTTACCTTTGAAGTGAGGCAGTATTTGGTCCTTTCATTCCCAGGAAAGCTATCAGACACCAGAAATTTCCCTTCTCCAAGAATCCTAACCCCTTCTTCAGCACAATATGACACCAAATCCCCTGACCTCACCACCTATATCAAAATCAAACCACATAAATCACACCCCAGCAACTCAATGATGCAAAATACACACCGTCATCACATTTAAATTTGGAAAAACAATAATGGGTGCACAATTGCATACGTGTTATAGACAATAAGATTGCTTCTAAAAATCACAGAACATGCATTAAGCTTTGCATTTAAACAAGAAATGAAATCCCAATACAATAGTCAGGCAACATATTTCAACAAGTCTTTGTTCTTCATACTTCAGTGACTGCATCTTTAGCCGGCTTCGCAATCTCTTTGACAAGACATTCAGCAATTGGTGCTCGGTGCTCTTTCAATATTGCAGCTGCTTTGTGAAGTAATTCTGCTCTTTTCCACAGTGGAGTCTTGGCCCATGATTTTTGAGCTGTTTTTGCTGCTTCTATGATCTTATTCACCTCTTCTTGAGTACAAGCTGCTCCAATAATAATTCAACAACAAAGTCATTAACATTCAAGCAACCTCATCGAGAAAATACTCAAAATGATAATAATCAGTAAAGTTTGGACTATAATTCAACACGATACCATTCCTCATTCTCATAATCAAGTTGTAAGAGTATGGAAATGAGGCAAACAGAAGAAGGTAAAAGGCTGATGCAATACAAATTTACCTTGTACCTTGTACTGAGTCTTTCTAGTGGTAGGGTTGATGATGGATACTAATTTTCCTGATGTAGACTTTTTCCACTCACCAGCTGAGTAGAACTTAAAAACAGGAGGAGCTTCATCAACTAGCTCTGCAAACACTGAAGTTCCTGCCATTTCTTGATGGTTCTTGATTCTTGCCGATCTCTTACGCTTCACCGGGTCTTTATAAAGAAAGAACCTGATGATGATGATGGCTGCTGCTGTGCTGGGGTTTGGAGTAGTAGAGTGCCACGTTTGTTTCACTTGGTCACTTCAACTAAGCGTCCTCTGACTTTTGAGTTTGAGTTTTTGGTAAAGAGTAAGGAAAGAGAACGAAGAATAATATAAATTATATTTTAAAATTTTAATTAGGTGATTTTTAATAGTTTTTAAAATTTGAGCTGGTCCTTTTATATTTATTAAAAAAATATTTAAAATTTGTTGTTCAAAATTTGTAGAAGATGCTGCGGTCGATGCTTCAGAACTTTATTTTTTTATTTTAAAAATATTTTTTAAAATAATTAATTTTATTTTTATTTTTTTAAAAAAATATTATTATTTGATATTTTTATGTTGATTTCATATACTATGTTAAAAATAACTTTAAAAAAATAAAAAAATTATTTTAACATATATAAAAATTATTTTAAAAATTAATTGCTTCCACAATATCAAATAAATTTTAAAAATATATTTTGAATGTTGTTTTTTATATTTATAAATTATTTTAAATTGTTGACATAAAAAATATATTAAAAACATATTATTTTAATAAATTTTATAATAAAAATTATTTGAAAAAACAACAACATTCATTAATTAACTACTTCAAGACTCAAGTTATACTATTAATTTGTTCAATCAATTTTTTATAAAAATTAAAATTATAAATTTTTTTTAAAATATTTTAAAAAACAATTAAATTAGTTTTACCTAGGTAATAATCAATTTTAAAAAAATTAAAATATATTATTTTAAAAAATCAAATCAAGTTTCAACCCTATAATAAATTAATTC